AACATACCAGAAGAAGGCCTGATAATTTTGACTTATTGTAAAGCATTACTATATTTATTTTTAATACAGGAATATCTTTTGCACCTAGATTTCTCTGTAAGTCATTTATCCTTGCTGAGAAATGAAAATCTAATATCAAAAATGAAGTCACTCAACTACTAAAATTAATGGAAATTTAATATGACTGAAACATAGTTCTGAAAACCATAACTGTCTCTTGAAAGAAGATGTAAAACTCTTCTAGCATCTTAAATAATTTCTGAAGTTCTGAAGTTAACTAATTTGGATTCCCTCCTCTAATGAAGAAACCCATGGCACCACTTTGAAAGTTTTAGCAATGAAAGCTGCTCACATATTTCTTTAACAAGACATTGATATATTTTAGGATTTGTGGCTGAATTCTGTTCTCATTTATACCTGTGCAAGCACATGGAAGTTAAATTAAAAGAGATTTGTCTAGGATAAAAATATCAGAATAACTGGTGGTACTAAACTTAGTTTGTTGCCAAAAAAATTAATAGAAATATGTAAAGAAAGGGTGATTTTGTGATACCTCCAGACCACATAGGTTATTGAGCACTTCCAAAATGAGCCTCTGAACCTTCTGAAGTCTTCCCACCATGACCACATTAAAAGTAAAATCATGTGGGCTTCCATTTGAACAGTTTATTTTTTAGTTTTAAAAATATTCTTCCTATAATTTTATCTCTGCAATCTGGGCAACTGCAGAATTTGGGATAGGGTTTCTTAAGAAGAAATCTGAGTATGTCAGGTAAATAAAACTTTGTCCCTTGTGAGTTAGCTCTGGGGGTGATGATCTCCTTCAGAATTAGCTCCTGTATTAGAAGCTGCATAGATGCATTAGTCTCTCTCTGGACAAATTCATCCTGTTGTGAATGTTTTTAGACTAATAATTTGGCCTGAAAACACCATCAGAAAGAATAGTGTTTTATGTGCATCTGTTTGAAATGTATGTTTTATATATATATATATATATATATATTTCTTGGATTCATTTTAAAATGTATCAGCTCTGTTTTCCAATTCAGCAAAGCAAACTGGAGGGAAACAGCATGGATATAAGAATGGGTGATTTGTTCTGTAAAAAGAAAGGGAAAGAAAACCCCAACAGTTGCTTAATATGTCACTGCTGCTGCAAGAAATGTACATATAACCACAAAATACAAAAAAGTACAACTAAAAGATTCTAGTGTTCCTGTACAAAAGAAAGACACTATTTTTGAATGGATGGCTGTGTTTCTGCTTTTGTCAGTTCATGATTGAAACAGAGTACGCGCAGTTTGGGCTTTCAAGAAAAGTGAAAGATATTCTCAATCTTATAGGTTGTCACCTGCTATCTTCTTGATTACTTTTCTTTGTACTCTAATCATGTGCCATATGGCTCCAAAATCCCTCCTTCAAAAAAAATTTGCAAAGGCAGTAAGCCTTGGATGATCTCTCAGTTGCCATACACTTAACTAACATGTTTTCCAACTCTTTCAGGGTACTTATTTTCTTTTTGTCAGCATCTGTAAATTCTACACTCTGCAAAGGATGTGAGAAAACTTCCAGGCAAAAGGATACTCAGGAATCCTTGAATCCTGAGCCATAAAACATGTACTGCTGTCTTTGGGAATATTGTGTGTGACTGAATGCAACAAACAAGGAGTCGCTGAGGGAGCTGGGTTTGTTCAGCCTGGAGAAAAGGAGGCTCAGGAGCGACTTTATTGCTCTTTATAAGTACATTAATGGAGGCTGTAGTGAGGTGGGGGTTGGTCTATTCTCCCATGTGCTTGGTGACAAGATGAGGGGGAACGGGCTGAAGTTGCACCAGGGGTGTTTTAAGTTGGATATTAGGAAGAACTTCTTTACTGAGAGGGTTGTGAGGCATTGGAATGGACTGCCCAGGGAAGTGGTGGAGTCACCATCCCTGGAGGTCTTTAAAAAATGTTTAGATGTTGAACTTAGTGATATGGTTTAGTGGAGGACTTTTAGTGTTAGGAAGCTGGACTTGATGATCTTGAAGTCTCTTCCAACCTAGAAAATTCTGTGATTCTGTGAAACTTTCATAACCAAGGCAATGGTTTAAATAGGTCCAGACGCTATATGTACTCCTGAGATAAACCATCTGTTCTCCGAGAACTAAAATAAAAAATAACATTTCTGATTATAAGTCAAAACAGACTGAGGTAGCTAAGGAGTACTGAGGCAGCTGAAGATCATGTCAAGCTGTGGAGGGTCTCTTCTGAGCCAATGTTTGAGAGTGTTCTAGAAGTTGTTGAAGCTAGGAGGCAAGGATGGGAATGTTATTTCTTTCTTTTTTTTTTTTTTTTTTTTTTCAGCCTAGAGAAGAGGAAACTGAGGGGATGTCTTATATTGGTCTGTAGATTCCTCACAAGGGGAGCAGAGGGGCAGACTGATCTCTGCTCTCTGTGGATAGCGAAAGGACCCGATGGAATGACATGGAGCTGCAACAGGGGAGGTTCAGTCTGGGTGTTAGGAAAAGGTTCTTCACCAGGACGGTGGTTAGGCACTGGAACAGGTTCCCCAGGGCAGTGGTCACAACACTGGGCCTGTTCAATAAGTGTTTGGAAAATGCTCTCAGACATAGGGTCTGATTTTTGGGTGGTCCTATGAGGACCACGCAGTTGGACTCACTGATACTTTTGGGACCCTTCCAGCTTGGGATATTCTATGGTTCTGTGATTCTATGAAGAGTTCTGAAACTCTCACTGGAGTCTCCCTCCTCCTGTAGATCTCAGGAGGCCCAAAGGAAGGAGGAAAAATTCTCGGTCACCTCCCCCAGACACCTTATTCACTCCATTACCTCCCATGAGATCACTTAAAATGTGCAGAAGATGCCAGAGGTGCGCCCAATTTGCTGTGTGTATGTGTATGTTTAGAAAGGAAAGCTGTATTTATGTGAGTGGGTATGTTAGTGTGTTTATGCATGTATGTGTAAACAAGGAGACTGGGCAGACCAAGAGTTTGGGAAGACATTGCTACCCTGACTTTCCTTCAGTCCTCTTCAGGAAACCAAGATGAAGCATTTGCTGGTTCTTTTCTACTGCCGGAACTGCCAATGAGCCCAAATTAATTTGCCAGCTCCTGATGACCTCTACTAATGCAACAGTTTGAAGTACTAACTTTTAAAATAAGACTCTAATTACCTCATCCTTTCTATCTGCACTAGATCTGAGCTAGATGAGTTCAGTGAACTATAATTTATCTCTTTACTTGTTGGTGGTTTGGTGGGTATGTGTTCCAAAGTAATAGGACAATGGGAAAATAACCCTCAGAATTAGAAACATTTTTTTCAGTCTTTGTGTGACTCATAATTTATTACTTCCACTGACCTCAAATTTGGCAGGAAAAAAAAATCAGCTACAGTGATAACCTACGCATATTAAAGCCAAAATTCATTTTTTTTATGCATTTGGAATGTGACGACAAAATTAAGTCTGAAGTGAGAGTTCACTTTATAGTGTTAGCCGAAGAATAATTGCAATTACTCCAGTGTATAGGAGAGAAAAAAGACGTGGGCTCTATCCCAATGCAGCAGAGCAATGGCATACTCAACAGACAACAAATTTTTCAGAAAAAAAAAATCACAAAAGAAAAGGATATAGAATATCGTATAGGATATAGAAAAAGGATTCTGAACTGCAAATGATGGTTACAAATGCCTTGCATCATGATGTTTTCTGGTCTACTGCAGTTTGTAGTTTTTTTTTTTTTTTTTTTTAAAGTCAATATTTAGGAAAGAGATATAAGTAAAAGCGGAGAAGAAATAAATAATTAAAAAAAAAAACTACATAGAAAATTGGTGAGTGCATGTGAGAAGTGACTGAAGAAGTCACAGTTTGCCAGAAAGTATATCCATACAGTTGTGATGTAGAAATATAAAGAGCAGAGAATTAAAAAAGATAGTGTAGCTGCTGTGTGTGAAGTATGATTAAAGCCAAGTGATGAGGACGGAAGAAAAAGTGCACAGTCTAAGATAATGATGGGAACTTACTTGTGCCAGGCCTTGAAAATCTTTTTGTATGTTCATCTAGTAATAAACATGTGAAAAATACCTATGTATAGTATCTATTCATAGATGATAGAAGTCCGGAGACTCAGAATGAAGCTTTAAGTGCCTGCCAAGTATAGAAGGCATTACACATCAAAGCATGAATACATGGTTACTCCAGATCTTCAGCAGACATTGCTGGTAACCACAAAGTTTGTCTCCTAGACTGTCATGGAATATTTTCCAGGGATGTACAGCACAGCCTGTTAAGTCTGAGAGCTGAAAAAAAAATGTCCTCAAGTATAATTTCATATAAAACTATTATGAAAAGAATTTTTGTCTTAAAGCTATCTTTGAAACAACTTCAGGAAAAAAACTCTTGGATATATTATTAACAACCATGCTTAGATCTTATGGTTTAATTTGCTTTAAAGTCATTATGCAGTGCTACACAAGATTTAATATTATTTTATTATTATTTTAATATTAATTTAATATTAATTTAATACTTATTGGGATTTGTAGCTAAAGAAAGCCTACTTTGTTTTGTTCACAATTTTACACTGTTTCCTACCATTATATTAAAAATGAATTCTGTTGAGGGGAAATTTTTATCATGAATACAGCTATGGTACTGTATACTCTTGACACCTTTTCTTCAATGGCAATTGTATGCCTTCCCTAATTCCACTGACTGGCTGGGCTGATGGCATCCTGAGGTTCAATGGTAAATATGCAGGACAGTCTCACAGAGAAAATGGATGACAGAGTAGGGAATATGATTTAGCAACCCCAGCTCCCAGGTGATGATTTTGATCCATATAGTGTCTTCATAGTATGTTTTTAACAAAATTGCAGAGAACTAGATACGTAGTTGCATGTTTTTGAACAGAACTAGTTATGGATGTACTAAATGAAGCCAAGTAATGCAGAAAACAAAAGGTGAAATATCTAAATTTAACCTTGTTCATTTTATATGTTCCAGATTCAGAACAATCTGTGGGCAGGGAATACAGCTAGCGGTTCTGTGGTTACTTCCTGCATGCTACCACGAGATACTTCCTCCTGTATGACACCTTATTCCCATTCACCCCGGACAGATTCTGGATACACAGGCTTTTCAAACCACCAGAACCAATTCAGCCATGTGCCCCTCAATAATTTTTTCACTGACTCTTTACTTTCTGGGACAACCAATGGACATGCTTTCGAAACCAAGCCGGAATTTGAAAGGAGGTCCTCCAGCATTGCAGTTCTACGGATGAAAGCCAAAGAGCATGCTGCCAATATTTCCTGGGCCATGTAAAATAGCAGTAACTTTTGGTTTTCTTTTTACTTAATTTTTTTTTTTTGCTTTTGCTTTTTTTTTTGTTTGTTTTGTTTATAGCAAACTGAAAACAATTTAATTTTGCATATTTAAAGGACACAAAAATAAGCTGCTGTGTGTGGAATGATAGAAATCACAATATACATGGTCTGCTTTAAAAAAAAAAAAAAAAAGCAATATAATATTTAACAATAAAACATAAGAATAAACCAAATAGATCTACCATGCATCAAGCTCAACAAGCCATTTTATATATATATATATATATATAAACATGTTTTGTTTTACCAGTTGATGAAATGTGATTATAGAACCTCAAAAAAGAATAAACCTATTAAGAAAACTTGTCTACTCCATTGTTTTTTATCAGTCCTCTAGGCAAAATTAATACTTTAGAAATGAATACTCCATCAGGGAAGAACTCTGTAAAGGAAAATAAATTTATTAGACAAAAGCCATGAGGTAAATCTCTAAGCACTCCATGCAGAGAAGGAAATATATGATCATCTATGTTGTAGGTGAAATCTGTAGACCTGACTCTCTCAGCACTGTGCTGCTGCTCTTAGCTCACTGGACAATTGTTGTATTAGTGCACAATGAAAAGAGAAAGTTTTTATTCTCTTTATTTTATGAACCTGAATGTATTCCTATTAAAGATAACAAGATTTTTAATGAAGATATCACTAAAAGCAGTATCACACTGATTAATGGAGCTTCAAGGAAATGCACAGGTTGTGTAGATCAATTAGTGTTTGAATAAAATCTTTAACATTGCAGATAGAGTATCTTGAAACTTAGGTGACCAAGGAGGGCATGGAAAAGTACTGCAACACTTTCAAGAGAATCCAGATTTAGAAACAAAACACAACAGCAAAGTTTTGCTTCTATTTCAGTTTTTTTTTTTTTTTTTTTTTTTTTGTTATCCTACAGTCAAATTGAAAAGGAAAAACTCCAACAAGACTTTCCAGTTTGTCTGTAACTAATCTCAAGATGTTATAAGAGTACATTTCATTTAATTTTAGTAACAGTTTGTTGATACTTTGCTTATTTTTATTATTTTTTTCATAGTGTAAGACTGACTTGCTCCCTTTAAAGTCCACAGGAAAAATCTTTGTGACTGCAGTGACAGCAGAATTTGGCTCTCAGCTCCCAGCCTATCACAAAGGAATTAAAATGTCAGCAGACTTTCTGACATTTCTGGTGGAAAAAAAAATAGAGGAGAAGAAAAATACTTTACATCTGGAGAATTGCTATCTGCTTTGATTTACTTCTCCTCCCTTTCCCCTGTCACATTCCAAGCTCCTTCAGATGAGTGAAATGTCAGCCTCTTTGAAAGCAACAGTCAGTCTCTCAGGTTCATAAAGGCAAAGTAAATTAATTGAAATAAAGAAGGACTCGCATGGCTGTGATTAGAACAGGATACAACTCTCTGGGCACCCCATGCTCCTTCTTACTTTTCTCTCTGGCCATTAGTTACAAAGGGAGGGCGGGTGAGGGGAGAAGGGAAGATCAGGGAAGCACATTTCATCACTGCAAAAGCAGAACTACCAGAACTCATAAGAATGTACTCAGAAGAACTCCCAGATTGTCTCTGCTCCTACTCATGAGGCTAAACTTGAAAATAAAAATAGGAGATGTGTTGGAGATGTGTCCATTCTTCAGTCTTTCAGTGAAATAAATAAACTTCACTTTGAAACTATTAGGATCAGTTGAAAATGAGAATTTCACAACTAATTCTTAGCTGATTGAAACTAAGGTTGTCATATTTGCTACTAGTAATAAACTCAATGTTTAACACATACATACACTTCAATTTGTGGTTTCCTAACTTTATTCTCCTTCTAAAAATGAACGTCAACTTTGGCCTGAAGAACTGGGAAAGAGCATTCTGGTTAGAACTTACCTTTTCCTTTTTATAGTCTGTTTAGACAGTAATAAAATGAGTCTTATGATTTAAAGTAAAAAGATTTTTATTAGTACAGGTAAAGACACCACTTTTATATAGATACTTGCTCTACATACAGAAGTGGAAATACAAGTGCATTCCTTTATTTTTATTTATTTTTATTTTTTATTTTTTCTTGTAAGCAGGTCAAACTATTTCTAGTTCTAAAATATGTTTTTTCTTTTTCTTTTTTCTTTTTTTTTTCAGTTTCCTCATAATCTTTTTTTTTTTTTTTTTTTTTTTTTTTTTTTTTTTTTTAGTATAGTATATAGAACATGTCAAATTGTTTTCCAGATAATATTTATTAGATCATCATTACTGGATAAAGAAGCAAAAGCTGGCAAACTTTGAGCCATTTTTAATTGTTGCCTGTCATTCAGCTTGCTTATTTATTTTGATAGCAGAATTTGTAATTATTGTCTTGTGAAATCTGGAAAAAAGTTAATTGTTGCAAGGCATTTTATGTCAAGAATAAAATTAAACAATTCCTAGGAATTTATTGCACTGACAGAATGCTTGGGGAAAATTAAAATCAATTTTCAAAACTACAAAATTTTTAGATGCTTGAAGACTTCAAAATCAAAGGGGAAAATAAAAGACTGTCATCTTCCTGCTGATTTTAATTAAGTAAAAGGGATAGAGTTCTAGTTAAATTTTCTTCCTCAGTTTTAGGAATGGAAATTATTTGTTACATGTTGCTAGCATAACTTTATGCATTAGGCAAACAGGTATTCAACCCTTCATTAAACCTGAGGTGTGATAAGTTGCAGACCTGCATTTAGCTTGTCATGCTCTTGCATCAGCCTCGTCTCGAAGAATGAATGATAGCCTGTTGGTTGCAACATTTCATTTAGCCAATGAAAAAGTATCTTCGTGTTAGATGTCAAGTACTACAACAGGGTCACATTCTGCCACTTTTATTCAGCAGTGCTTTACTCCATGAGTAGGTGCATTGATATGAGTGAGATTACTCACATAGGCCAAATTGTGAATCACTTGTAACTGTTTATTCACAATGGCTCTATTCATGCAAAGGGCTGCTCACCACAACATGAGTAATCGGTTCATAATCAAGCCCAACTTAAGGTACTATTCAGCTTTGGTAAGGATGGCAGAATCTGGCCTACACTGGCTGAAGTCCAGACTCAGACTTTTTAACCAAGATGAGTAGCTCCTTATTCCAGAAATAGTGCAAATAAAGTCAACAAGGCTATTTGTAGGGTTCTCTTATAAGAAAATTCTAGAAAAGAGACATTTCAGTAAATGCAAGTTATTCCAGCAAGTTTCAATTCAAGGTAGATTATTTTATTTCCCACTCTCACATTTGACAGGACTTGTGTTCTTATGCTTTGATTTTATCCACTTAATGATTTCTTAGCATGAGCAACTAATGTTTTTATTGCTCCTTCAACATGTGGCAGATGCACTAAAAACAAAAGGAGGTGATTTACATAGCCTTCCTGCCAAGTACTTTAACTAATGTTTGAGATATGTGATCATCATGTAATGCTGAGCAGTAAATTTATAGAACTTCTGGGCAAAGAGTCCCTATCCTGTTAAAAGAGAAAGTGAAATATTGTTGTAATTATTACTGTGAAGAATTTGTGATGACATAGTGCTGAGCTCTTTTTCCTCCTATGATTGATTCATCAACAATTTGAAAATGTTAAGCCTGTGTTTGAATTTTATATTTTTTTTCCCCCACAGGTGTAAATTCATCTATGAAAATTAAAAGTGCTTTTTAAGATTTGTACAGACTCATGTCAGTAATGGACAACACTGCAATTAGCAGCTAAAGACCCTGTCTGCTTACCATAAAGGTGGTCAGAAGAGTTTGACACCACTGATTTCTACCTAAAGTTTAATTGGCAGTGTTACATACCACAGAAATGTATCAATGAAGGCAACATTTGTTGCTGAGAATAAACTGAAATGAACTGTAATTCTTACTTTCCTTCTTTACTGTCATAATATTTTATGCTGTCAAGTGTTGAAAAATTCCAGTTCAATATAATAAAAGCATTTTGTTTTGACTGTAAACTTTATGGTAAGGCCCTGAAGTATATCATTTAACAAATACAAGCAATGCAGTGTATTTAATATTGTGATTTTTTAAATGATAGAAATAAATGCTTTTGTTTGCAAATAATAAAATTCAGTATTTTCAAAATGACAGAGATGAACTAATGCTTTCTTGATACATTTCTAAATATTTGCCTGTCTGATCAAAGGTAAAAACCAATTTTGGAACACTTAAACTGCTAAAATTCAAGGTGTTTCCAGGGAAAGTTCTTTCTTTGATAAGGCAATGATTTTTATTTTTTTTTTTTTCCCAGCACTTCCATACCCAAGTTACAAGTGGTCAACTCATGCAATCTTCAGAATACACCCTTCCTATCCCTCTGCAGTGATCTAGAACAGGTTTGTCTGTTATCAGAAGGATAGTATGTGTAAGGTACACAAAGCTCATTCCAATGGCTACTTATTTATCCCAGTTATTTTGTATCAGTCTTGAGCAGCCCAAAGAAGCTGAAATACATATATGGTTAAACTTGGTTTACAGCTGCTTTGTATTGCCAGTGCAACACAAAACAGCTGTGGTAAACTGGTGAATTATTATTTGAAATATTGGCAACATAAGCAAACTTATTAAGTAAATATCCAGAACGTAAAGTTGGAATAGTTGGAAGAACATATTTCAGATTTAAATTGTGTAAAATAAGCAGTAGACTGGGCAAACCCTGAATGTGAAGTATATGTATGAGAGGTGCAGTGTGCAGTGAGTGAATGTGGAGGTATGATGATTGGAAATGGCAGAATAATCTTCTGTGAGGAGAGTCAGTGTGCAGTGACAGAGTAAGGAGAAAACCTAAACACATGTCCTGCCCTTCCTTCTCTTGTGTAAATTCCGTTACCTAAATTTCACCAGGACCTATAAAAATAAGAATTATTTCATTGCTGCCTTCCTTATCTCCATTTGTAAGAATGGCGTGGGTTTAGGGAAGGATATACTGAATCCAAAAATTTACTCGAAAGGACTTGTAGGTGCATGACTGTCACTGCTAATAAAAACATATTGGTAAGTTAAAGGATTATTCTGGGGAGAGAAATCTGGTCTCTACATTCACTAATCATGCATTTTAGATTTTTTTTTTCCCTGCATTTTCAAGGCAGCATGAGGGCAGAACATTAAAGCACAGTGACAGTCAGACCAGTGAATCCACCAACTTTCTGGAGCACAGCCAGTTTCCCTTGCACCACAAAGCTGTGACATGCAGGTTGTTCTGGTTTTGGCTAGGATAGAATTAATTTTCCTCCTAGTAGCTGGTATGGTGCTGTGTTTTTGATTTACAATGAGCATAATGTTGATAACACACTGATGTTTTAATTGTTGGGCAGAGCAGAGGTTTGGCAGCTGAGCAAGGACGTTTTCAGCGTCCTCAGCAACGCACCCATGCTGCTCAGGGCCGGGCTGGGCATCAGTCAGTGGGTGGTGAGCAATTGCATTATTCATCGCTTGATTTTCTTCTTCTTCTTCTTCTTCTTCTTCTTCTTCTTCTTCTTCTTCTTCTTTTCCTTCTTCTTCTTCTTCTTCTTCCCTTCCCTTCCTTCCTTCCCTTCCCTTCCCTTCCTTCCCTTCCCTTCCCTTCCTTCCCTTCCCTTCCTTCCCTTCCCTTCCCTTCCCTTCCCTTCCCTTCCTTCCCTTCCCTTCCCTTCCCTTCCCTTCCCTTCCCTTCCCTTCCCTTCCCTTCCCTTCCCTTCCCTTCCTTCCTTCCCCTTTCTTCTTTTCTTTTTTCTTTTCTTTTATTTTCTTTTTTCTTTTCTTTTCTTTTCTTTTCTTTTCTTTTCTTTTTTCTTTCTTTTCTTTTCTTTTCTTTTCTTTTCTTTTCTTTTCTTTTCTTTTCTTTTCTTTTCTTTTTCTT